CATCAAAAAAGTTGGAAGTGGAGAAGTGGCTTAGATGATAGAGCACCACCATTGATCAAAAAAAGACAAGTCACTGAGTTCATCCAAAATAAGAGGGGGACCAACAGGTAGAATACTATATGTACTGACAGTATGGCATTCTTTTGTGCACTGTAGTGGGTGTAATTCGTGATATTATATATTTCAAAGTAACCAGAACAAAGGATTGTGAATATTTTCAGCACAAAGAAACGATGGGTGTTTGACACAACAAATAGGCTAAATACTCTGATGCAATAGATCATTGTCCATTATCTACCTGGATGGGAACATACATTGTACCGTGTACAGATGTGGAATTATTATGTGCCAATTAAAATAAGATAAAACTTAAAACTAGATAATACATGGGCTAAAAAAAGAACATGAAACAAGATGTTTTAACTTAAAGAGGCATGAAAAGGCTGACAGGGAAAATCTGTTAAATGTCTTTTATCTAGTGGAGGCTTAAGAAATGTAGCTATTATTATCAACTGTAAGACCCTATTCTTGCTTCTTCCTTGTGTTTGATGGAACTTTTTCTTGAAAAAGAAAAGATGAGAGATGTTTGTAAAGGTCTTAACCCCTCCATGCTTTTCATCATTACTTGCATCTGAGTTCCTTTGTCTTCACCCCAACCCACCTCAGCAGATGAGTCTATTCATGTTCACATTGCTTACTTGCCTGTGGATGTGATTATGACTGATAGATCTCATAAAGTCCTAGAGAGTGCTACTAACATCTTATAACTCATCTGGTATTGCTAGGACTTCCTGGAAGAGTTAGAAAAGAGGGGTTCCTGAACTGCAGACCTGTGACTATGATTTTTACAACCTTGGGTCTTCTGTAGGCCTGAAGGCCTCTTTCGAATGCCTTAATTCCTATGAAGCAACAAAATGCAAACGTAATAATGGTTCTGACAAAATTGCCACATACGTTTTATACCAGTTTAAGAAAATTTATGCCCAGGGAAGCGGGGATTTCTATAACTTCTGGTTGAAAGTCAATCACTATCCCCTTTTAGAAAAAGGGCAACTAATACTTAGGAAGAAAGCAGAGGAGTTGGAAAGTTTGATTAAGAAAAAAATGAACGTTACCTGAAAAAATTTTAAATGGATCCATTTTAAATGAAATTAAATGGCATTTAACTGATTTGCAAATTGGGATTTCTGTATATCAGTAAAATGATTATAACCTTGATTTATCCCTAAAATTAGCTTTATTATTACCTTTAATTATACTAGAAGATTGTTAAGCATTTGTAAGTTCCCTCTATCCCTTTAAACTGTACCGATCAGACAATAATCAAATACCAGATAGGGTAACTTGATTTTCTAAAGAAATATGTTTCTAATATTTTTCTCTTTTATTACAGAAATTGAAAACAGTTGAAGAAACAAAAGAAGATCCTGAGGATAGATTATCTAAAATTTCCCTGGAGTCATTCAATAAATTCAACAGCACTACTGTGATTCTATTAGAAAAAGAGAACTCTCTGAACAAGGCTGAAGGAGAAAAAGAAGAAAAAGAAAAAAATGAAGAAGCATCTTTGAGTAGCTCAGATAGGCCTGGAGTCGATAATTTGGAATCCTTGAGTGATTCTTTATATGATAGCTTCTCTTCTTGTGCAAGTCAAGGTTCAAATGATGTGTAAAGAACTTTGCTCCTTAGTGAGACCTGGGAAGAGTACACTTAAAGGAAATAAAGCAATGATAAGGATGTAGAAAGGATAAACATTAATGTACAAATGCCAGTCAAGTTCACAGTAGGTAATGTACTACCGCTTATTACTTTGACAGGGCAAAAAAACCCAACTCCAGCTGGGTTGCTGTCTCGTGCCTGCAATCCTAGCTACTCAGGAGTCTCAGGTGGAGGCCAACCCAAACAGAAAAGATTTGCTAGTTTCCATATCTAAAAATAATAGCAAAAATATAAAAAAAGCTGGGTGCCGGTGGCTCACACCTGTAATCCTAGCTACTCAGGAGGCTGAGATCTGAGGATCACGGTTCAAAGCCAGCCTGGGCAGGAAAGTCCGTGAAACTCTTATCTCCAGTAAACCACCAGAAAACCTGAAGTGGCGCTGTAGCTCAAGTGGTAGAGCGTTCGCCTTGAGCTGAAGAGCTGAGGGACTGCGCTCAGGCCCAGAGTTCAAGTCCCACCACCGACAAAATAAATAAATAAATAAATGGCTGGAGGCATGGCTCCAGGGATAAAGCACCAGCCTAGCAAGCAGGAGGCTCTGAGTTCAAATCATGATACTGCCCAAAACTACTCCAAAAGGATTGACTCCATTTGTTGTATTTCAAGAGGATAAAAAGTAAACATGATACAGAATTCTTAATTTTTGCACTTTTTGAATACTTGTACAGAAGTTGTAAATTTTTTGAAGAGAAATTATATTTGTAGGGGCAAATGATAGCAATAAATGGAATCAGTGCCATGCTCTTGAAATAATGTACTAAGACCTAGAAGTTGATAATATATTTTTAAAAGTTTCACCTGAGATTTGTGAAGTTCACTATCCCAGTCCTCAGATGATTTGTGAGTGCACTCTAAATTTAAAAATAAGAAAAAGGAAAAAATAAGAAAAAAAGAAAACAATGAGAGATTGCCATGATCTCCACCTTAGTCTCCTTTTGATAGAAAATTTAATTAAAAAATTTGCTAGAGAGATTCAATAGATAGCAATAAATGTAATTCTACTTTTCTAGAAAAAATCAAACTGAAGTATGGATGCTGATTAGAAGTTATAGTGAATCCAGACCCAACTCAATCCTGGTTCCAATAGCAAGTTCCCCTCTCAAACATCTCCTTCATCCTCTTCTCCTTAGGGTTTGTCTGTGATTCTGAATACTATTTGTTGATTTTTATCTTTTTATTAAAATCTGGGTACTCTAGAAATGAAAGCGGATTCCTATTTGCTCTGTCCACTTTTTTAAAAAATAAAATGGTTGGTGCTATGATAATTTCTTACTTTTTAATATCCTTTTTTCTACAAAGACTGTTTATATGTAAGGATAAATTCTATTTTAAAGGCTATGTGTATTTTTTCTAGATGTGAACTATTTATAATTGCTTTTGTACAGAAGCTGTAAACTAGTCATAATAGAACTATTTTTAGGATGTATATGGTTAGTTTAGCACACAATTGTCCCTTTAAAGAGTATTGTATAATCAGTGTTATTTCGTTCATTTGTGCAATGTGTTACGTTTGAGTTTTGTTATCTTAAATGAAAATTATGTAAAGTGTCCTTGTCTTTCAGGCTTTTAAAAATCCTTTTTCTTTTTTCCTGAATAAAAGTCCTATCACAACTGCTCTCTATGAAAACTGAAAAGGACTTCTTTGAGGACTTTTTGCTCACTAGGTTATTTCAACTGTGACTCATATGTGCTCCAAGGAGGGATTTCCGAAGGCATAAACTGGCCCTTTTGCGCCTAAAGTAGCAATTCAGCCAATGGTAAAAGCAGAGTCTACAGACAAGGGAGAAATGGTCAAAGCATTTCAGTCTCCCCAAGGGGTTAACCAACTAGAAAAGAAAGGAAAAGGTGGGGGATGGGGACAAAAGGCAGAAGGGAGAAGGAGCCCTAGGCTGAGAGGAAAGGATTCGTCTGCAGAGGAATTACAAGAAAGTCACTGCCGCTCATTTCCAGACCTGCTCAGCTGGCAGGATGGGAAAATAAATGAACTGCGCCCAGCTTGAGAGCTTCCCCTGCGAGGCGGCTGGAGAAGAGGGGTTAGAGCTTACTTACGAGGCTATTTCTACTGAAATGTGTGCTCCCCCGAGACTTGAAATAAAGGGGTGGGAACGGGCGGGACTGGGGGCGGGGGTACCTTCCAGCTCCGGCCAGGCAAGCCTGCTCCGCACCACCTGCTGCAGTGCTCCGCCAGGAAGGCGCAAATCACACCGGCGAATACACAAGGTGGGTCATCTGTAATGGACTGAAAGAAGAAAAATAAGGGTAGAATGGGATGGAGGAGGCGGGTGCAGCCAAGGGGCAGCCGGGCAAGGATAGTGGCACCTTATGGAGTGGGTATTCATAACTTATGGCTATGGGGAGCCGAATGGAGTCTCTGGTTGGAGGAAGAAGGAGAGAAACCCTCTTGTTTTCTGTCGGATTTGATTTCCAGCCGGAGCTTATCAGGGTGGTATTCCTGGTGGCTTTCCGCTGGGCCGGGCCACCCCGGCAGTGGGCAGTGTCAGTGCCACGTACCCGCCAGCCATGCGCGCGCGGGCTGGCGACAAAAGGACAAGCCAGGGCAAGCGCGTCCGTCAGGGCAGGATCCCCACCGCACTTTCACCCATCCACCCTAACCAGTAACCACCAGTGGTGAGCCTCTCCCAAAAGTAGAAGCGGCACAACTGCGCGAGACACCCCAGGGAGCCGGGGGGCGGGGGGGAGGGCATTTCCCCCAAAACTCCATCCCTCCAGATCGACTCCCCAGAAGCGGTCGATCCCGCCGGGGAGAGTGGGGAGGGCCGACCTGGACCTGGTCTCTGGGGTACTGGAGAGAGCCTGGGACCCAGAGGGGGAGCTCGCCCGTGCGCACCGAGGCCCAGAATCCGTGCCGGGCTGGTCCCCGCGGCACCTGCTGCGCCCTCCGCACCCGTCTTCCCCCACTTCACATCTCTCAGCCCCTGAAAACTACACCCCGCCTCCCCGCGCCGCCCTCGGCGCCCCTTTCCCCAGAACGTGCAGAGGCGGGAGATAAGGGCGGCAGGAAGGAGGTGGGGACACAGAGAGACAGTCCCAGCCTCCCCTGCCCGCCACCCCCACCCCCACTCGACAGCCGTCACGTGGTGCCTGGAGTGGGGGGGGGAAGGGGGGAGCAGAGGAGAGACTTTTTTTGGAGGGGGGTGCTTCGGATCGCCAGTAGTTCTTCAGTCTAAGCCACCAACTCCGGAGGTGCCAAGCTCGGCCCGGGAGCGCCAGCCAGAGCCGTGGGTACCCGGGCGCGGAGAGCCCCGGCGCGGGCGATGCGGGCGCCGCGGGCGACACCTGCGGCTCCCCTCGGTGGCGGCCGTCGCTCAGGCGGCAGCAGCGCGGGCCCCGGCAGTACCAGCGGCCACGGTGACCGCGGCGCGGGCGTCCTCCGCGGCGGCCGCCGCCTCTGATGCTCCCGCCCGCCCGCTCCCGGCACCGCGGCTCCGGGAGGATGTGGGTCCTCGGCATCGCGGCAACTTTTTGCGGATTGTGCTTGCTTCCAGGTAAGGAGACCACCGAGGTCGGCAGCCCCGCCGAGCGCTCCCAGCCCGGTGATCCGCTACCCACCGGCCCCTCTCCTCCCCACCCTCACCCCATCCCACCCCCAGGGCGCCCACCTCCGGGCGGGCGCGGCTTGGGGCTGCCCCGCGGGAGTTGAGCTGCGGGGCGAGTGGTGGCCAGAGGCGCGCTAAACTGGGAAAGTCTCCAAGTCCCGCGCTGCTGGACTTGGGGACTGTTGGATTCGCGGGACTCCCAGCGCCGGCTGCCCAGGGTACAGTTGGGAGAAATCGGGGACAGGGGTTGGCTGGGGAGAGGGAAGGTGTAGGTCATGGAGAGGGTCTGGGGGAGATAAGAAGGGGTGACATCTCCCCGAACCGCAGCCAAGTTATCAAGTGTCTTGCAACCCGTGGGAGTGGCGCCGCCGACAGGTGAGCGACGCGCTCGCGGAGCTGGCTGGTGCCGGGCTGCGCCGGGGCTGTGTCCCTGCTGCGATCCGCGTGAGCCACGAAGGGGACACGCCGGGCACAGCAGCCAGGTCTAGATAGTGCCTCCAAGGATGCGGGTGTCTGACTCCCTCTTTGACTCTTTGCGGACTGAGCTCTGCAGAGCTGGGACTCGGACCGCGAACCCTTGCCAACGATTGTTCCCCCCCCCCCCAAAAAAGCCCCGGGGACCCGGGGGGCTGCGGTGTGGCTCACAAGCCGAGATCTTCACGTCCCCTCCGACCCGCGGCGGCCGTCCCCTCCGCCGCCGTTAGAAGGGTCGGCGAGCCCCGAAGTCTTGGGGCGCAGGGGCGCTTGGCGACCAGAGCCTCCTCCCGCGTTCCCCCGTGGTCGCTCGGGAAACAGCGCCAGAACGCTGGCTGCAGAAATTAAGTAAAACCCAAAAGGCGTCGGCAAATGTAATCATGAATGGTGCCAAAATAGTAATTAAGTAATTTGTAACCAATTAGCAATTAAGCAAATCCTTTGGCATAGACCGGAGCTGACGCGGGCTTCCGGAACGACTTGGTTCTTCGGTCTGAACCTGTCCTCCTTTCAACTTCTTGGGAATGACCGCCCGTGGTGGTGCCTGGGCACTCTGAGTCTGGAGCAAGGATTTAGGGAGTCTTGGGGCAATGTTCCTCTCAATCCTCTGTAGGACCCGGGGTGCCCGCGCCGCCCTCTGCCGGCTTCAGCCACATCCAGCTCTACGGGAGACCTCGAAGGGCAGAGCTGACATCCCCGAGGCCCTGAGCCCTGGCTTTCCCCGAACAGGAGTTGGCTTGCTCTGCGGGCGGGATCTGACCACCCCGACCCCATCTGTCCTTGCAGGCTTTGCTTTGCAAATCCAGTGCTACCAGTGTGAAGAATTCCAGCTGAACAACGACTGCTCCTCCCCTGAGTTCATCGTGAATTGTACGGTGAACGTTCAAGACATGTGTCAGAAAGAAGTTATGGAGCAAAGCGCGGGTAAGAGCCTGGCACCTCTTCCAGTCCTCCCTTCAGCTAGCCTAGGCAGCGAGCGTGAGAGTGAAGGGCCATTAAATTACAGAAAAGGGGGTGACTTTGATTTAATGTGTGTGTGTGTGTGTGTGTGTGTGTGCACTGCGCGCACGCGCGCGCGCGTGCGCGCGCGCGCGCGTACACACACACACACACACACACACATTGGTTATCACAGATTTACAATGCTGGGAAAATGAAGAGTTCTGAGTTACCTTAATCTCATTAGAGTTAATTACCAGGGTTTCTACCCCAAGGGATTTGGGAGGGAAAGTACATTTAAATCAGTGCCTCTCCTCTTTATATTTACTCCCTTCTCCTCCCTGTGCTAAAAGCTGATCAGTGGGTGGAAAAATATATGAATAACCAGCCCTGGCTTGGGCAACTAGACAGTAGCTGTGAGGGATGTCAGCCTGAAATATGGAGCTAGTTGAAGTTCCCAGAGGTCAGAGCTTGAAAAATGTGTTTTGTCATCGAGCCACACCATATTTCTTTGAAGAACACTATAGGATCTTTATTTAATTTTAGAACTAATGCATCAAATTCCAGGCACAAATTGCCAAGATCTTTCAAAGGAATGTTGTTCTCAGCCCTACAGGCTCAGCTGCTGGCTGGCTGACAGACACTAAGCATTATGCAGGGGACATGGGGTGGGGGGGAGAGAATTCTCACTCTAATTTAAAGTCTTTTTTGGATTCCCCAGTGCCATCTTTCCCAATAATCTTAGTAAAACTCAAAGTCCCCCAAAACATCATGGAACTTTGAGGGAACATAAAGGAAGGTGTTGCTTTAATTTCAAGGTCAAATCATAGAGTCTTCGCCATGGAAAAACTGTTGAAAAGATGGGAAATAGCATCATGTAATAAATGATACTGAATGAGCCAAATCCGTACTACTCTAGTTAGGGAACTAACTGCTCCCAGAGCCCCAGAGTGAAGTGATTAGAACTGTTACATGATTCCTTTAAACCACTGGCAAGCCATGCAAAGCTAGTTTTAAAGGCAGCACCTTGGGAAAGTACTTTGCCCTAGAGCAAGGCCTGAAGATGTTGCTAACCACAGGGTTACTGGAGAAATTGATTAGCTAGAAAGATGGAGACTTCTCTCATAGCATTCATCTCTGTGTTATGAAGTGGTGTGCATATGGTTTTATAAGCTGTTCTTCATAGGTGATTATTGTCCAGGGTATGGATTTTTTTCTACCAAATTGCTCTCCTAGGAAATATGAGATGTAATTGCTTTGAAGAATAACTGTCCCAAGAAAAATAGCAAGCATTATTTTGGTATAGGAGATTCAGTCTCGTTTTAAAAAAGCAGAACGAAACTAAGCTTGATGATGAGGCTTTAGCTCAGAGTGATATAGACAGTTTTGACAAGTGATTTCTTTCGTAGTTGAATTTCACTCCTGCACTTTTCCTGGGCTTTTCCTGACCTTTTGAGTATTTGCAGTTCTTTCTCCACAATAGTTTAGAGCTAGAATACTGAAGGCCACAGCTTACCCAGGTATCATGTTTTATAACCTAGGATGTGGTTGAGGAAAAGATATGAGCTGAATTCGAGTCCAAAGGGGTACTCTCTCTGAGAGACATATCTTTTCCCCTTTGTACTTGCCTTTGATGAATACTATATACTCAATTTTCAAAGTGCTATTTTACATTTTGATTAATTCTCTACTGAAAATCATATTATACAACCAATATATAAAGGCAAAGCAGACATTATAATTCCCATTTACCACAGACAACTTCATCACAGAGAATTCCTAGGTACCTGGCCTGAGGTTGGTTGCCTCCTATTAATGTAGTTAAGTTGGGTGCTTTGTCTCCAAAATCATGTTTCTCCCACCACGGGCAAAAAATGATAAGATTAAAGCATAATCCAGTCTTAAACTTGAAGAATTAACAACAGGAGCAATGGATGAACACAAATGAAAAATCAGTTATGAACAAGAGCACAGGTCTAGCCATATGCAAAATATTCTAAACCTAAATCCAGTAGAAATCAGCCAACCAAATATATTTCTGTACTTGAGAGCCATGTCTAGGCTCTGATACTTCCAATGTCCTTTCATGTTTATGTAATTGCTACAGACTAGCCTGTTTACTTTGGATGATAAGAACAAAAAGTAAATCTGAAACTTTGATTATGACCACAATGTGGCATAATCATTGCAATACTAATGGCAAACTTTTGTCATGTGCGCTGTGCATCTAGCTCTTCCTTCATCAAGTTATCTGTAGTGTCTCATGAAATCTGGTAGAATTTTCCTCATGCCACAACCAGTCAGTATTTAAGTCCATGGCATAGCCAACTCTGCCATTCTGAAAAAAGTAATGCCTGTTAAATGATACTATTTAGGGGCTGGGAAGTTGGCTCAGTGGTAGAGTGCTTGTCTCGCATGCATGAGGCCCTGGGTTCGATTCCTCAGCACCACATAAGCAGAAAAAAGCTGGAAGTGGCGCTGTAGCTCAAGTGGTAAAGCGCTAGCCTTGAGCTGAAGAGCTGAGGGACAGTGCCCAGGCCCAGAGTTCAGCCCCCAACCGGATCCCCCCCCCCCGAAAAAAATGATACCATTTAGAATCAAAGTTGGAATTGAATCTAAGTCAGAATCTTAGTGCTTTGGAGCTGAAATGGCTCACCGACTCCTTCTTAAGGTGCATTTTACCATCTTCCTGGAATTTGGGTTGATTCCACATGCCTGGGCCCACACTGAAGAAACTAACTTCATAAGTCTGTGTTATATTGGCCATGGCTTTTATAAACTCCCCAAGTGACTCTGGGGTGCTCTAAGTTGAGATTGCTGATCTGGACCAACCTTTCTTAATAAAAGAGGATCAAAACTATTTCTAAGAGAAACTTGAAATCTGCTTTCCAAGCCAATACCTGTGCTATAATGCCACCTGCCATCGTCTCACAGACTAAAATGCATCACCAAGTTTACCTGAAAAGGTAAGTCAGGAAAAGTTCTAAGGTCTGAAACAATTTTTCATGTCCATTAGGTTTACCTGACAGGATCAGAGGACAGGTCACAAAGTGAATGTTGACAGAATAAGAAAAGCAACTAGTAGGACTTTTAAAGTTAGAGTGCTATGTAGATTGGCATTTTTCATAGATAGAGAAAACAAAGGCTTTAAATGGGCTAAGAAATTTTAATGAACTAGGCTGGTCTGACATTAAGCAGTAATGAAAGGTGCTCTCTCTCCTTAAACTACCAGCGATGCAATATGCCCAGGCCTTCAGTTAGTCCTTTCGGGATTAAGTCTGCAGACTCAGCTTTTATGAATTTTGAGGCAGGTAAATTTAATTTTCAGTAGGGAAGTTCGTTTGAAATTAACCTTTACCTATCCCCCAGAGTGTCATTCCTATTAGGTGCTGAGAATGTTTTCCATTGCTCTATAAACCCTTGGACATTGCTAGAATAATAAAGCATGTGCTGTGGGAAGGAAGAGAAGGTTTGGTTCAGCTTTTCCCATTGTCCTTTCTAATTGATATTTAAATGTTTGCATAAGTAATGACTTGCTCTCACCAGTTCTGCCCTTAATGGGCTAGTGTCTATTTGCCAGCACCCTTGATAAGGACATTTCTTTTGCTCTTGTTTATCATTGCATTTCACAAAATATTTCAAATATTGATTTTCATTTCAGAATAAAAGCTTCTCCCTCTTCCAGTATGAATTTTTAAACCAGGGTATAAAGAATGTGGATTTGCATTTGTTTGACAGTGCAATCTTGTAATTAGAGTTTTTCCTCTTGACTAGATACAGTGAAAGGGGCATAATTTAATTTTTATGGACTAGCCAATTTCTGCCCTTAGTAAAATATAGCTCTGTCAGTGAGCAAAATGTTACAGGTTCTCTTAAACCTTATTTAAAAGTTAAATGCAGTATATTGAGAGAAAGTTCATGGTCTGAATCAGTAACCTAATCGATCTTATCACCCATCCTTTGCAACATGCATTAATCTATTTGTCTGTTTTGCAATACAAGAGTTACTGATTTACATGCCATGGTGCATCTACATTATGGCTGGATAAGTAATGGCTGTCTTCTTTTTGGATTAGTTAGTTGCTCATTAAGTTGAGCAAGGATAGCTCAGGGCCCTGGATGGATTCATTGATGGCTTGTTTTCTCATGAGCTAAATAACGAATGGCAAGAAAGGATGCAATGTTCATTAAATAATCACTTATCCACTTCCAGTAGATAGAAATAGAAAAGTAATCATAGCCAATGTTCTTTCAAATCTAGTTGTGCTTAATTTTACTAGCATTTAAAAACCTAGGCTCTATTTCAACCTTGATGTAGGCTTAGAAGGAGTGAAACCCAGTATAGCTCATCAAATTTATATCCCAAACCATTTTCCTAGCATTCTTTCATATAAGATGTGTGCAGGGTGATATATAAGGATCGCTTTAGTTTTCTACAGGTGTTTAGCCAATTTTGCCAGCACCGTTTACTGAAGAGGCTGTCTTTCTTCCATTCTATTATTTTAGCTCCCTTATCAAAGATTAGGTGGCACATACATTGGAACACACATGATAGCATGTATATGTGTGTGTTTATATAGTTTTACCATTTTACCTGTGTGTGGATATATGTGTTTATCTGCATATACCCACATATGTAATTCTTGTAATAAAAATGAAAACATTAAGTCCTCCTTTGAAGGTGTTCAGATCCGATCCATGCTATGTTGTAGACACAGGGATAATTTTAATATAAAATTTTGCAGAATGACTTTGTTAAGAGCACTTTGCTAAGAATGACTTTCCCTATGCGTGTCCCTCACCTGCCCCATGTCTTTTTCCTCCTCCTCCCAGGCCTCTCCATTATCTCACTTAGTAAAGACTTCCTTACTAGAAACCAATTAATCAGAATGATTTTTAGGATGTGCTCTATAGAGCAAGTGAAAAACAAAAAGATTTTAAATTACTATAGATCAAATTTAGCAAAGGAAACTTCCCCAGGTTAA